CCGCCAGTCTCCTGTTCATGACCATCTGCATGCGTATGAGAAAATACTCGGGCAAGGCGGATGATGCAAGAAGACTCATTCTGGTGCGCTCGACATGATCCGAATCAGCCAATTGCAAAATGGATCGCAAAGATACGCAATGCGGCATCCAATCTCAAATCCGTGAAGCTCACTCCGGCGGATCAACAAATTTGTGATCAACTCCTGCGTGGTCTAGAGACACTTGGAAGCCGATTTGGGACCATCTTGTCTATTCGCCTAAGGAGATCTCTCTTGACAACGCCATTGGTGCGCTTGAGGCTCACGAGGTATCCATGCAAGTAACGTTCAACCACTCGGGCAAGAACTATGCGGCTGCTGCTGTAAAAAAACCAAAGAAACGACTTGGCTGCTGGAACTGCGGACAAACTTTCCACCACTCCTCCGCGTGTCCCAACCCCTCTCTAAAGAACAAGTTGAACACAACAGCGAAATCAGCTGTAGCGTGGGCTGGTGCGACCTCTGCGGCACCTCTTGGCAATGGTGGACCTAGCAATGATGAAGATGACAACAGCTTCGACAAATAAATCAATGTTGTATGGGGATGAGCCCTGAAGTAAAAATTATTTATACATTCGTAGGAAGGGCAACTCCGGCACAACCTGATGGCTAATTCTTCATGGCGATTTGGGGTATATCTGTTATCATGACATTTCCCTGCTCTTTGTTTCCATCAGATTTCTGGCCTGATTTTAAGTACTAGTTTCTGTCCCCCATAAGAAATACTATTTTCTGTTACTTCCAAGTAGTTTAGATATTTCATTTATTTTAGTTTTTGATTTTCAGCAAGGGGGTGTGTTGGAATAGCATGCATATGCATTGTCCAGTATGCTTCTAATCTTAACACATACAATCTTGTATATAACTCATACTAGATTGTCATTGGCGTTTTCCCTCTAGTGAATCAGAAACCATTATTTTCTCACTCTCAGGTGTCACAAGACTTCTCAGTCGTGTGAACTTCAGGCAGCTCATCCTGTGTCCCCTCAACAAAC